TCATAGGTGAGGTGCTCCAGCCTTTGATCATATTTCTGCCCCTTTTCTTGACCTGCTCTTACAGGTCCATGTCTTTCTTGTGCTGAGCTGGATGCAGCACTCCAGGTGGGGTCTCGTATAGGGCTGATGCCCGTACCTAATTTTGATTACTTTTATGGGTTTTTGGTTGGTGCTAAAAGTAAAGTGATCCAGTAGTTGGGCATTTATTTAAAGAAATTCATGATGCATGTATCTGTACAGCAAGCATCTGTCCTCTGGATGAAAGTATGTAGGTTTGATCCTGGTTTTAATTTTGTGTGTGAAATTGCAGAATTCAGCAGGGACCCAATGCCCAACATATTCAAGTGTAAACTTTTTTCTCCCCACTTTTTTCTTTTATTTATTCAAAACCAGCACTACCCTGCACAGCTTTCTTTCTCATTTTCCAACAGACTGTCTTGCAAATGACAGCAGACAAGGACCACTGTGGTTCTCATGGGAGAGGATGTTGGGAATTGTGCCTGCCTGCTTTGAGGTGGTGATCATGGGCAGTTCCCATCATTGGATGACACACAGGAATTAATTACTGTCCTTGGGGTTTGGTAGTACCACAGGTAGAATCTATCCGATGGAGTGGTTCCACACCTTGGAACAGACTTATGAAGAAGATGGATGGGCAGAAGGTGCCTGCTAAATAATTGCTCAGGCCAATAGCTACCTTGGCTATTAAGAGAGTTGAGGTTTGATTCCTCAAAGCTGTGTTCGTCTCTGCTTGATTCAAAAGTGGAGTTCTTTATTATTATTTATTGCTGGTAGCAATGGCTGTGAAAAAAACCCAACAGTGATTGCACTAGGGGAGAAGACTAGAAGGAAAAAATACTTGTAGGAAGAGAGAAAATTTTGGAAAATTAATGAACTTGAATGAACCGGAATGAGTGGTGCTGGTTTTTATTACATGGTCTTCCCTGTTGTGTCAGGACTGAGTAAATTATGCCAAGTAGAAGCTTGCATAATCTTGCAATAAATTGCCCGGACTCATCGATACTCACTGCTTTGTGTGGAAGGGAGGCCATTTCACAGGCTGTGGCTACTGCACTCAGAGTACCTTGTAATTTAAGGCACGCTTCCTGAAAACAGAGCTCATCTTTCAGGGATCTCCTGAGTCACTTGTAAAAACTCAGAAACTGGTCAACTATAAAGCTTTTGATGGTGGCAGCAGAAGGCTCACTGATTGCATTTCAACTCTTTCTGTGTGAAACTGCAAAGCGCTCAGGAAAGATGCTTTTGTTATCCTGTGGCTTGCTTTCCCTTCACAGTTCATTTCACGTTTTTCTTTCAAGAAAAGTGTCCTTTCAAATCCCTCCGTGCTCCTTCCCCCAGGCCATAGCCCTTAAAGCAACTGAGATGCAATAGCAGAGCAACAGTGCTGGTGTGTTCATTTACATCTCATTTATGAAAAACACGTGGTTTCTGTTGAACCATACCTTTTGTGCTGACACAGCTGCTCTGACCGTACTCTCCCTGCAAGCCAGCACCATCATTACTCACTGAGCACTTACAGCCCCGTAAGAGAACCTGAAGATATGCTGTGAAACCCAAATCATCACAGCTGTATCGATCAGAGCTGTTTCTAATGACAGACGTGTCTGTTTTGTCTGAAACAAAAAATGTTTTCCTGTGTATATAGTAAGAAATTATCTTTTCTGTGCACAAGTTACTCAACAGATGGGGTTTTGGCTGTTGCTTTCTGAGGAACCTATCATGTTTTTACAGGTAGAAAGTCAACAGAACAGGAAACTAACGTAGAGGAGGCAAAGAAATCTTAACGTTTTCAGTTAGGCTTTTTTTTTTTATTTCAATCAATAGTTTAACAAGTGCTTAAACTTCCCCAGCAGTTTAATCTGGAACATAGTTGAGAAGAAAAATATCTTCTATAGCTTTACAAAAATAAAAAGATTTTTTTTCTTTTAAAATCCTACACTTTAGGCAAGCACACTCCAACTCAAGCAAGATAGACATTATATCTTAAAATAGAGACTTCTGTTAATAGAAATGACATTTTACCCCAGGGCAGCAGGCACAATATGTAAATGGTATAGAAACAGAGTAAGAACACTTGTTTTGGCTTTTCTGATCCCTTTTGTCCTATTTCTTAAATAGAACCTGTTAAACCAATTGGCCTAAGAGTTTCTTCAGGTTACCATTTCTTCTGTCAGGTAGCTTCTTGAGTAGGATATTACTGAGGGAAAAGTTTTCACCTGTCTTGGTAACACTGGCAATTACTGAAGATACCAACATTAATGGTTTCATTTTTTTAAAGCTTGTGCATTTCAGCAAGGGAAAAATCACTCAGTTTGTAGGTCTTCCACTGCTAAACCACTTCCAGCTTAACTTCTTTAGCAGCCATGGCTGCCAGCATATGAGGTCAGGTTGGAGAAATAAAATGAATGTAATATATTGTGTCACAAATGTATGTGGTACTGTGGAGCAGTTAATTTAGTGTGTGATGAAACCAAAAGATTGGATAAACTTTAGCTCCTCATTCTGTGCCTGTAAACAAGGAGAAGCCTCACAGAGAGTATGGATTGGCACATAAACTATGCACTCTGTAGACTTACATCTTTGTCCAACTTGACTCGTATTGGCTAACAGAAAAATAAAAAATATATAAGCACATGGAGGGAAGCTGGTGCTGCATAGGCTAAGAACCCAGATGATAAAATTATGTTTCTGGTCAACACTACAAATGAACTACAGGAGTCCCCAATTAGATTTCTTGTACTGCATTATGAAGACCTTTTTAAATACTTCCTTTTTAAGTGTCTTTAAATGGCAGGGGGAAAAGATCATTTATTATACAATCTGTACATTGAGTCACATTTGCATGTAGTCTAACCATAAACCTTGGAAAACCCAGGCAAGTCTGTGATTCAAAACAGCTGAGACATGAATGTGCTTTTGGAGGTAAGAACTAGACGGAGCTTTCTCTTGAAACTGATGTAATATTTCTGACATTAGGCAATTTACAGAGGAGCCACGTAGCGCTAACCTGTAGATGATTTCCCTGATGAATATAGAAGATCATGCTGTGGAGCAGTTCCTTTGCTCTCTGCTTCAGTCCTGCATCACAAGCACATGCTGATTTCAGCTGGGATTGAGTTGTGTGTGGCACTTGCATGGGGAATGGACGTGGTCTGACAACTCCTAGCCATTGATATTTTTTCAGAGATAGCACTGCCTGACCTGGAATGGTCAGCCTTGGTAGAAGAAGCTTTCCTTTGTGATCTAAGGAACATCATGCCATACCCATCCTCTTTAATAAAAACTAACATGAATTCACTCATGCTGCTAGGTCTCAAACAGAAGTCAGAAATTACACTAATGGTCAAGGGACTTGTTTGACTGTAATAGCTCAGTAACCCATTTGGATGCTGACTACAAAACTCAAGTCTAGCTAGAGAAAACCAAACTCCATCCTGGTTCCTAGCTACTCTTTCAGAGACATGGTTTCTCCTTCTTGACCCCTGAGTTAAAACTGTCCTCCTGATGCCCCCTTTACCAGCAACTGATCCAGAGCTGGCTCTTCAAGTAGGTTTGACTATGTGGAGCAGAAAACCATCAAGAAAAGCTGTTCATAGGGCTCAATTCACCATGGTGAGTTGGCTTTCAGCTCCTTCCAGTAGGCTGAAGGAGGATCTGAAAGTGGAGCTGAAGGTGGATGGATGAACACTTTCTCTGGAGACCACTGAACCAACCTGAGCTCCATTTCTGACTCTTAAAGAGTTTTCTGTGACTTTTCATTTGCCTGAGGAAAAAATATGGAAGATGTGATCTGACCTGGCAGCGAGTCTATGATACTGTTCCTTCTCCCCATCCTCCTGCTGTCTCAAAAGCAGGTGAACTGATTTTGTTCCAGATCTGAGGAAACTCACATCCATGTTTTCAAGGAATTCTTTTGCTATAGCAGACAGTGTGAAGACTCGCTACATAAAGTTGAAGGACCTTCATTCAAAACATACTTTTCCTGTGATACTGAAAATAACTCATTAAAGGCTCTTTTTCCGACTCAGTACTGAATGGGGCAGCTGGAAGCTGCTGATACTGTAAAGAAACGCTATGACCTTGCTCCTTATGTTTCTTACACAGGTTCCTGCTCCTCCTGCAAACCAAAATGTGTACATTAGTAAAAGCCACCGCCGAAATGCTGCAAGGTTCACTCCCCATTAAAGCAGGGAAGCATGGTTCATCTATGAACTTGTAACTCCTTGCTGGCCTTAAATGTCTCCCCTACAGCCTCCAGAGTCTGCTCTGATTCACGTCAGTGCACAAAAGGATATATTTGCCACTGAGGGAAACTTCTGAGTTTCTTCAGCAGGCTCTTGCTGAAGAATGCTCTCTGAGGCCTGTGCCTATCCTATTTCCCAGCAATGTCTCCCCAGGCCTCCCCAAACAATACTGATTTAAGCTCTATGAAATTGTGGTATGTATTGGGACAGTTCAGCAAGGAGAAAAGGGAGGACCTGACTGCATTTGGGCATCTCTTGCCCCTCCCTATGGTAAGACTGGGCCAGTGTCCCTCCCTCTGCAGGTCAGTTTCCAGCTGTTTTCTTGCTCTCCTAAGGGCCACGGAGTGCTTGCTGCTGCAACTCTTTTCCTTGTTCCTACATGAGGTCACACCACTAAAAATACACCGCTAAGTAGGTTTGCAGAACATATTAATCCCACCTGCTTCTTTACTTTGTCCACCTGGCTGACACAAATACTGCACACAGAGTATGCAGAGTAAGGCCTCAGGAATATGAAAACAGAAGTTGTCCCTGCAGCCTTGTACTGGCAACTTACCTGCACTGTGTGCAACCAATAGAAAAAATGCTGCTGCTGGCTGGCTTTGAGTGGGCTTGGTTGTAACTGCTTGCTAGTTACAAAGGGAGGCCTCAAAGCAATTACATAGCTAACAAAATTGAATGAGAAAAATATTAAACCACTGATTACTTTTACAACTTAATGATTGTAAAAATAGCTTAAATTACTTGGAATATTCTTTTTTCTTTTTTTAATTAGAGGTGTTAACCATTTAGCACTTTTGGAACAGAGGGCTGTTGATCTGCTGATTCTTTTTGTATTATGAGCTGTGAGATAATGGCAAGATAAATCTTTGTGGGTTTCCTCCTTATATACATATCTACATCAGAGCTGTGAAGTCAGAGGGGGAAGCTGCTATCACAGTACTGGCACAACACCGAACCCTTCCCCAGAGCTACATTCTGATGAGAACCCAGGCGTTGGGGAGAAGAGCACCACAATGGCAGGATGGCAGAGACAACTAAAGCAGGATCGTAAATGTTCATCCCAGCAGTTAAAAGAAAAATAAAATAAAAGGAGACCCCCTCCCTCCCCCCAGAAGTCTGCAGTCCTAAAGTGCAATTACTTTTGTGCAGTCATGTCAGGCCAGGGATCAGACTGGATGAAGTTCAAAGCACAAACATCAAACGAGTGCCGTTCGGGATTCAAGGAGGAAGGGGGAAGTAAGGAAAAGAACAACAGTTCTCAGGCATTCAAGTGCATCAAGAAAATAAATGTCCCTTTCTTTTGGAAGAAAAACAGCCCCCAGTCTGGTGGAATCCTGGCTTTGTAGTCACGAAAAATAAGTTGTTTTCACTTCTAGCTGAGAATGTCCCAGTATGACACAGTACAAATAAACAACAAAGCAAGAGCTGGGGCACTGGGATATTTTTCCGGTGCCCTGCTGCTATACAGCCTTATTTTATTCTCCTCTGGTGACTCTTCAGACCTGGGTACTGATGAGGCGCACTGAATCAGAGGCGTCTGGTAGGAAGTGGCTCTCTTCTCCGGTCGGTCGGGGCTGGACCCGTCGCTCGGCCTCTGCCCGTTGTACAGCAAGTACCTGCCTCGGGCATCCTGCTCCATTTTGAAGATTTCGTACTCGGTGTGAGGTAGGCGGATGCCAAGCGCAATGCAGCCGTTCGTGTGGGTGACATCTTGCTGTACCCCAACTTGCCAGGATCCCTGTGCTCCGCACTCATTCCCGTTGAAGACATTGAGCAGCGAGGCTGTGGATATATCCATCGGAGTGACCTTCATGTGATTCACTGTGAGAGAGGAAGAGGGGAGCTATTAGCAGAGGGACAAAAACAAAAGCAAAGCCAACATGCAGATTGGGGCCTGTTAAATCAAAATTGTCTCCCCTTGTTCATTCTTAAATGAATTTTTCCTATTATAGGTGTGGCCAGCAAATCTATTTGCATCACTTCATGTCTATGACTTTGTGCAAAAATTGCTTTTTGCACAGAACGACCTCCCTCCTCCAACTCAGTTGAAAAAAACCTGACAGCCACATATCTCAGCCAGAGATTAAGCAGAGCTTTTCATAGGTTCCAGACAATCCTTTACAGATAAAACCTGGTTGGTTATATTAGGTGATAGGGAGAAGAGGAAACAATAAAACTTTACTGACGTTTTATTACCATCTGTATTAATCCATAAGTGGGGCTGTTTATCATGTATTTTTCATCATTTTTTAACATCTGTTACCCTGTAAAGCTAATTAAATAATTAGTTTCAATTAGGGAACTTGGAAAATATCACAGCTGCACTATCATCATATATTATATTTGCTTTTTTGCATGAATTATAAAATATTGCTGACCTACAGAGAGATGCTTTTTCTCATATCCAAACATTGGCCGCAGCTTGCAGTATCAAATGTAGGAGTGCTGCAGCTTCTTCAGTTCTAACCTGTCTGTATTTCAAAGGAGCTTAAGGCACATAAACTTTTATTTTCCAGCCAAGTTAAAAAAGTTGGGAAAAGCCAAACTGAATGAGCCTACAGAAGCTGAATAGAGATTTTTCCTGGTGTGTGTTTGACACAAGAATATATGAAGAAAGGGGATCTGAATGGATCGGTGCTGACCAAAACAGAAGCAAGTAACTAGCCCTCATGGCTCCCAACACAGCAAAATCCCAAATTCTCTTTCAAGTCATTTTATAGCAATATTTGTTGGGAGTTTTATTCTCAGATTTTATAAACAGACGTTTGACTCAATGGCTCTACAGTTCACATTATTTGCTCTATATGGTGTAAAAGGTAATTTGTAAAAATTGAATGTACAAGTTTTATCAAAACCAAATTAGTGACCTTGATCTGTAAGGTAAGTTGGCATAGCATAAATTCAAGCAAAAACTGGATTTCACCCCATAAGCTCAGCTAGGACATGCTACATATGCAGCTCTAAAGAACAAAAGTTTGACAGGCAAGGGTATCTCCTGCCTCCTATGAAAATCCCAGATTAGTAAATTATTTCTTATAGTTAGATGTTTTCCTAAATTAGACTCATGCAAGAAGCTTTATGCTTCTCACATGGTAACTGAAATAAGTAGGAGAAGAGCCTACAGAGTGCTTGAGGCTTCCAGAGGCTTTGCTGGGGTTGGTGCCATGGTGGCATGTTGTATTTTGGAGATGTTTGTTTGTGTGAGTGGTTCAGGCCTCTGAGCTCTTTCCATCCAGGGAGCCGTGGGACTGTTTGCACTGGAAGGCTTCTCAGCTGCAGGGACCTGGGTGGCATCACCACTGAGTGCTGCTTTCCAAAGTGCTCGAGGGGTTTTGGTTAGATATGTCTAGTCTTTGTTCTGGTGAGATTAATCAGAGCTGTCTTTAGGGACACTCTCACTTGCTTGAGGGCCCCTTGGAAGCATATATAAAGATGTGTGCTGCTACATCTATCTTTGACAGAAAATTATTTATACTTCTTCAGATCTGAAATGCCTTCTGAAGGTCCTTTTTTCTCTCTGTTGAAGGAGTCCTAGGACATAGATCTAACCTTAGACACTTTTCTTAGATGCTTGAAGTCTGGCCACTGGACTCCAAGACTTAGTGATGGGAAATCTTATTTTCTTGTGCTGTACCTAAAGACCTCTGCCTCAAATGAGTATTGCTTCAGTGGTGTGAAATGCCTAGCAGCTGTATAGTTTGTCTGGGCATTCACACAACGCTTGAAAACTTCCCAAGAAATTATGAACTCCTAAAAATCACATAATGAAACCATCAGAAAACAAATCACTATGAGCAAACTCTGCTCTGGTCCATGACTACCTGACCACCTCTGCCCCCAGCGTAGCAAGTCACTCTACCTTTAAACACAAACTCTGTGCCACCCATCACTTTGGAGGAGTGGACTCCCCGGCTGTAGCGTCCCTTGGCGTAGATGGTGAAGGTGGGGTGCTTGCAGATGGGGTCAGAGTAGTGGTAGTAGTGACCCTCCCAGGTGTTGTTGTTGTCATGGAAGATGAAGTGCCGAGTAAGGAAGAGAACCTCTGGTCGCACCTCGCAGCGCTGGCTCACCCACTCCCCGTGCAGCCCTATGGTCAGATCCGCCTTGGGGGGCAAGATGGGAGGGTGGTGCTCGTCCGACCGGTAGATGATTCTGCACGCGATGCACGTGCGGTCGTGGTTCTGAAACAAAGCAGAGAGAAACACTTGTTAGGCATTATCTGTGATACAGGGCAATGAATCAGGCCAGCCACTTCATGCTGAAGTGACACCAGCCCCACATTTTAATGGATTGTCATTTCTTATCTTGTTAGTGGTACCTTTGGTTTTGTACGTGTAAGACTGCACAGCAGGAGAGCACTTAAGAGATTAAGTCCCTTGTCTGCGTTTATCTGAAATTAACATATTAGTTCAGCTTTTTATAGAACCTAGAAAAGGCTGACTTTACCTTTCAAATCATATGAGAAGCTGGCAGATAGTAATTTACTATGGTAGGGACTTTGCAACACTTGTGTTAGAAATCAAGACATTTGCTGAGCTCTTATTTTGCATCTGTCTTCTTTTTAGTTGTTAACTTTGGGTACTGTAGATAAACATGGGTGTCCTACATTTTTCTTTTTGGATGGCAGCCTGGGAGAACAGTAACCAGTGATTTTAAACTTTTTTCAGCTTTCTGAACCCTAATGCAAGTTTGTGAAGTGTGTGACATGGCCAGTTACCGCTGAACGTGGCGAAAGCTTTATGGCCCTCTCCAGCCAGAACAGGGTCTGTGGTGCCTGCTGAGCTCCATGATGACTCACTGCTGTGGGCCAAGCAGCAGCCTCAGGTAGTTAAGTACCCCAGCCCTAACCATGAGCACAAGGGGTGCCTTACTAGAGGCGTGCAGGCTCCAAGTCCACGTCAGGAAGGGAGGGAATTTCACACTGAGGCTTCTGCCTCCTGCCATCAGAAACGACAGAGACCTGTAGGTTGTTCCTAAGGCTAACTCTTTCTGTTTCTGTAAGGTTTTTGTCTTGTTGGCAAAAGTTTGGCCTCTAAGTTTTCAAACTGTGTTTCGCACTTTTTCAATGGCAAGAGAGAGATAGCACCATTAGCTTTTGTCTCTGCTCTGCTAAGCCTTGAATTAAATTTTATGGACCAAGAGAGGATTAGGATACTAATTTTTTAGCTCATTTTATTGATGGCAAATAATTAGCTTAAGAAGAACAACCCCTCAAGATAAAAGCAGTGTTGTTGCCAAGAGAGGTCGTGGACTCCTCATCCCTGGAGGTGCTCAAGGCCGGTTTGGATGGGGCTTTGAGCACCTTGGTCTAGTGGAAGGTGTCCCTATCCATGGCAGGAGGGTTGGAACTAGATGATCTTTAAGTCCTCTTCCAACTCAAACCATTGTAAGAGTCTGTGATTCTGTTTTCCTGGTGCCTGTGTTGGGTTGGTGATGTGCCATTTGTTTACATCTCAGGACTTGACAGTAGAGGCTTTCTACGCAGCTGGTGACGTGTGGAGGGGCAGCGTCCTCTGAGCTGTAAGCGGGCTTACACTCAGAGTGAAAGACCACACAGATAGCTTGTGCCTTCATCTCTCAAGGGCACTACATGATCCTTCCTGGAGAGAGGGGGATGCACTGGGAGGGTTACTCGCATCTGCCTTGTTCAAGCTGTGAGGTGTTTTCCTGAGGTGCAGTTCTGAGTGCATTGAATTAAGAGCTAAAGCTCACCATGCAGCAATCGGGAAGAGAGATTTATAGAAATACTTTATCTTTGAGCCCCTTTCCACCCCTCTTTTTTGAGGTGTCTCTGAAATCCCTACATAAGTGCTAATATTCATTGCTCTTTAGAGTCCATGTGAACTGCTGTGGAGTCACCATTTCTCCACTCACTGCCTTCAGCTCACAGCTCACTTTAGGGGTGACATTCACACAATCTTCATTAGTGCCCTGAGTTTCTCCAGTAATATGATATGACCATAGGTAGCTTCAGAGAATCAACATACAACTTCCACAATATATATTTGCCCCCACCCCAGACCAGACAGTCTGGTTTTTCACCAGAAAGTTTTTTCACCAAAAGTGAAATCAATGAAAAGTCCACTGTTCTACATCCCTGGGATATAGAACAGTGGTCTATGTGCAAAATAACTATAAATGGTGTAGCTGGTTGATCTGAACCAGTGCTGACCAACAGCCCTGCTCTGAAGAGGAAGGATGTTGGACTTGGTAATCTCCAGAGGATTTTTCCACCCCAAAACACATGGTCTTCTGGGAACTATGTGTCAGCATGCAATTCAAGTGGATGCACTTTCCCACTGTGGAGCTTTTAAAATAATGTTAAGATACATTTTTTCAGCTAAATTCCGCAAGCAGGAGCAAGGGCTACTAGTACCTTAGTGAAAAACAAAGAACATTTAAGTGAGTAATTTAACACAACTGGTGAAGTTAGAACAGACTTATATTCAAAAAGTATTTTTGAATTGTAATAGAAATAATGCTTTTTCTTCTTGGACATCAACATCCAAAAGATGCCACCACTGCTTTGCATGGACACCCACAGAGATCCAGGCCAAGGGATTGCTCTGTGGAAGATGCCAGTGTCTATAAACCACTTGTTTCTCCAGCGTGGCTGTCCTGCCATGAGGTACACTGGTGTCACTCCTCTCTAACACATTAAGGGCTAATAAACTGCGCTGATGACAGTAACTTTACAGCTGTGATTGTCCCACTCAAATAAAGTGAAGCCAGAAAGCAAGCCAAAGACAGTGTTATAAAATTAAACATAGGTTATATAAGCTGAATTGGTCAACAGTAGGACACAATTTCTGCTACAGCCCCTCCTCTGTTGAAGTAAATTTGAAAGCTTTTATTATCTCCCAGAGGAGACCCTGGCAGAGCACTATGGTGGTTTGGTTTATATTCACATCTTCTCAGGAGCCTGTCCTCCAAAACCAATTTTTGAGCCAAGGCAATTTAACCTCAAAACGAGTGATGTCTGTTGCCCTTGTTCAAAATCTGAAGAAAACCAAACAGAAACTCAGCCTGTTGTCTTTCTTGTTTAACCCTTGGCTATGGGATTCCTCTACTGTTTCTCAGGTCTAGTGGATGGACAAGATGAAGATCTGTAATCAATCCTGTTTGCAACTACATAATTTTTTTACTTTTTTTTTGAACCAGAAAGGACTATCGAGCATAACAGTTCTTTTTGCTGTTCTTCTAGCAGCAATTCTAAAGTTTCATCTCTTCTCCACGCCATTAAAAAAACATGGGTATTATGAGTCAAGGCTCTGATGCTGGGAAGGAATATTCTCATAGTTTAATGTCTTCTTCATCATACTGGGAGTGCAGAAGATGCTGACTGGTAACACCTGCAGCTGCTTAGTCCCTTGCCTGTGGCCAGTGGCAGAGTGGGCAGAAGAAGGCCCATGGAGATCCACAGTGGAAAACAATTCATAACCACAAGCAGCCCCTTTCTCCTTATCAGGGGTGGTTTTATGTCTTAGGGCATAAGAAGGGGTTATTTCCCAAAACATAAAACTACACTGTCTGGCATTACACTGTGAGCAGAGGTGACTCCTTTGGCAAACTCTAGGAAGGTTCACGTTAACTTTCTGTTACTTTTCTGTAGCTCACCTGGCTCTTTGACCTCTGCGGTCCAGAACCAATGTACCTCTGTGCAGCCCTTCCAACTCTGAAGGCTTTGCACCAGCTCTGATGGTCTGGCCAGTTGGGCTACTAAGAAATGTCCAGCCTGACGGCCTTCTATTTACTGTTCATGTGCCTGAATGAAGGGACAGAGGTGAACCATCACTTTTTGCATCAAACCAGGAGTGGGACAGGGAGAGGTTGGGGCAGTGTGGAAGGAAGCAGAACTACACCCTTCCCAGCAGTGAGACATCGGCTGGCTCAGGCACCTCATACGCCCGTACCCTGAATGCATCACTTCGCTGAGACCAGCACTTGAATCTAAGCCCAAAAAAACCTTTTTTTTTTTTTTGCTGTGATACTATCTTTCACAAAGTTATAAACTTCTTAGGAGAAGAATATGCCATGTGTAAACTCCCTCAGAATTATTTTTGCCTGAGTAATGGACAAGGGAAAGATCTAGTTTTGTTATGAGGCAATTCGACTTAATTTTGGAGTAATTTATGTTTAACAATTGACTGTATATTTCCCTCTTGCTTCTTTTTGGACAGCTGCTCTTGGATCTTAATTACACTAGCTGTGGCTTTTCAAATCACTCCCTTTCCATGTGTCTCAGGGAAAGATTATTTTCTAAAAACAGACGTTCAAAGAAAATAGGGAACAGAGACAGAGGACACTTGAGTCCAAACACGATTAAGTACTCTCTAATAAAAAGCTCATTTGGGCATGACATAAACTAAAAAGCAATAAAATGAGCAGCGGACAGGATGAACATCTGTTCTATGTTTTGATTATCTTAGGTGTACAACGCAATATTTTTAATAGTGGGGTCTTACTTGAAGGACTGGCCCCTGAAATGGCTGGAAGATCCCTTCCCTTGATGGGTGCCTCCTTGCAGCTCTGCAATGCCAAATTCCTAGTGCCCCAATTCCTCACCCTCCTGGGTGTTTCTTTAAAGCCAATTTCTGAACTAAGCCATGTGTGCTGAAACAAGCCTGAATCTTCAGCTGGAAACTCAGTTCTTGTAGTTGGGGAGAAATTAGCTTGTGATCTGAAAATTTCCACCACCATTTTTTCTTATCCCTCCCTCCTGCTGTCTCAGCTGAAATGGTAATAGGGCCAGAGAGCTCTGGAAGCCAAGCAGGGAGGTTTCTAATAAAAAAAGGCAAACAAGGATGAGGTTCCCTTGATCTTTTTTCCAATTGCTGTGGATACTCAGAAACATAAACCCTCCCAGCATAGTTTAATTTTCTCTTAAGTTCTATAGATTTCTATGGCTGCCTAGGATTAATTTGCCTCTAATAAATTCATGGTGTTCTTTATGGCTGAGGCAAAAAAACTATCATACAAATGGGATGCTCTCGGAGCAATGGTGAAATGAGCTTTGAATAACACCTAGAAAGATCTATTTGGAAGGTGTTCCACTTTTCTCTGAATACCTTTGTATTTCAATGTTGTTGTTAAGAGAATAAGACATCTATGGACCAAACCATTTTCCAAACATACAGAAAATGTGCCCTTTCCTTAGGGTTCAAGCAGAAACTGAAATCAA